AATTTTATGTTCTAAAAATACCAAATTTATAGCTATAATCTTAACAATATTTGCTGCTATTATAATATTAGTGTTGTTATGTATCAGAAACAGAATTACCTTAGCGATTGCATTGATTCAAGAATCATCAAAGTAAGTTTTTTTTTTTAAAGTTTTGTATCACAGACTTTTCTACTTTTGTTTATGAAACTTTAAAGTCAAATATTTTTTTTTTTTTTTGGCATTGAAAACTGTACAACATAAAAAAAGAAAATGTGTTCTATAAATTTTTTTTATTTTTGTATAGTGTCGTCAGTTACAAAATTTTTTTTACTGTTTCATATGTAACTTTGAAACGTTTTTAAAGTTTTTATAATTTCAATAAATAACAGAAAAAAAACCACCTGAGAATTTTGATTTTATCTTTTATTTTTATTTTTTAATGTAATAGGAACTTTTCGCTTAGTTTGATTACGTTAGAAACAGAATTTTTTTTACACTTTTATAACAGGTGATTAAACTTTAAAAAATGCATTTTTTGCATCTACTAATCTCTGTAACAGTTTCCAAGTTTCCATGAGCCACCATAGGTAATCACTATTTAGGGCTGTTGGTGCAATTGTATCATCGTTGTTCCTACCGGTATTACTTTTCATCATTCATATCGCCATATTTTCTGCTTGGGCTGTAGTCTCAGTTTGGATTGCATCATCTGGAAGCGAAAACTGTAGAATACCGGACAGTAAAGGCAACTTAAATAATGGTACCGAATGTGATTGCTCAACTATTGGCATTAATAACAGTACAACAAAAATTTTGAACAGTAAAGTAAGATTTTTTAAACTTCTTCAACTTAAACTTGATAAACGCTTTTTAATATCAGTGTGCTGTTGAAAAGCTTTTTTGGTTGTCCTCTTTTTCAAGATAAACGTTGAAAAAATTTTATCAGCTTTTATAGTTGATCTTTGAATATTGCCACAGATACCACAAAGCACCAATATGTATTTGTGCAGCTAATTTTCATAGAGCTTGGAAAGATTAAAAATTGTAGCAATTTGAAAAAAATTTTAAAGTTTTTTTTTCTTTTTTTTCAGGAATCAATGTGTCAGTATGTCAACCTGACACGAAACGAGAACCAGATTCTTGTTATGCAATTGTATAATTTGATTGGCTTTTTTTGGAGTAGTTGGTTTGCTTCTGCGATATGCGATATAACGTTGGCCGGTGCTTTCGCCAGTTACTATTGGGCTTTCAACAAGAGCAAAGATGTCCCGCCGTTTCCAATACTATTAGCTTTTCGGAGAGCTATCCGGTAAAATTACGATATCAGGCAGTAACAGTTAATCAACATATTTTACCACTTAGGTGTATTTGTCAGTTGTAAACGATCAAGAATTTTTCATGAATAAAATAAATCTAAGACTAGCAACAAGTTTAAAAAAAATGAGTAATTTTTTTGCAGATATCATTTGGGAACAGTAGCATTTGGATCATTGATAATAACAACTGTTAAAATATTTCGAATAATGTTGGATTTTATTGACCGAAAGTTGAACTCTATGGAAAATAAAGTGGCCAAAGCTATACTGAAGTAATTTCTCTCTTAAAATAATAGTATAACAGATTAAATTTCTGGCAAAAATTGTGGTTCAACAGATTTTAAATTACAAATTGTTCGTTCGTTTTCATTGATCAACCGGTCAGTCAATCATTTGTTATTTAGGTGTTTCAAATGTTTATTTTGGTGTGTAGAAGTGTTCCTGAAATTCCTCACAAAGAATGCTTACATTATGGTGGGTAAACAGATTTTTTTTTTTGTTCCTATAATGTAAACAAATTTTTGCAAAACTTCATAATCTTTTACTTTCAATCAGTTATCGTTGCATTACAGTTATATCATATACAAATGCAAAATTTTTTAGACAGCAATTTATGGTACAAACTTTTTCACCGCAGCCAAAGATTCATTTTCACTGATATGGAATAATGCAGTCCGATATGCAGTGTTGGTCAAAATTACAGATTTCCTGCTATTTCTCGGCAAAATAACAATTACAATTGGGATGGGTTGGTTTTCTTATTTATATCATTTCAAATTCTGTTCCCAATGAAAGTAAAACGAACAATTTTGTTTTTACTCAAGTTCATAATAAAAATCCAACCAATACGTGTACAGTAATACTATTCAAAAAAAGAGAAAAAAAAAGTTCTTTCTCCTAAATTCTTAATTTCTCAATAAATTAATTAAACAGTAACTATCAAACAGTTTTAAATCTGTATGAAGCAAATAACCTCTTTTTTTTTCTTCCAATTTTTTCTTTGGTAACTTTGACGGACCTTTATTAATTTGCATATAGGAGTGGTAGCTTTTCATTGGTTCGCTGGACGTTGGGTTATCCAAGGCCTACCTCATATAGATCTTTATTACTATTTTGTACCAATTTTACTGGTCGTTATTGGTGCCTACATAATTGCCGATCTCTTCTTTGAAGTCTACGAAATGGCTGTCCGTACAACGTTTCTTTGCTTCCGTAAGTTTCTGCTCTTGCTTGCTGTTTGCTCAAAAAAATAGAATAAACAGTTGTAACTCTTAGTCATCATCATCAGCAACAGTCCCAGTAGCAGTAGAAGGCAACAATTCGTTTTTAACCATTAACAATTGCAAAAAAAAAAATCTTTTTATTTTTAATCTAAAATTAACTTTATTTATGCTAAGCAAAACAATAATCTACCTGTTGAATATATGTTTTGATTGCAATTCTACATTTTTACTGCTTTTTTTTTCTTTCAGTAGAAGACGCCCAAAATAATGACGGTACTCCAGACAAACCTTACTATATGTCTAAAGAGTTGCGGAAAATTATGGGCAAAGAAAATCAATTTAAATGTATCACAAGATAGGACTTTATCTGTGTATCATAAATGCATTTATATTAGAAGCTTTAATAAACAATTTTATCATTAACTTCTACACTTTTAACACCTTATCAAACACTTTTGAATGCCAACACTTCCCAAACAAAACTGCCGTAGACTTTATCAATAGAGCTCAAACTCGAACATTCCAAATTTGCATAATTAGAGGGGTAAACACAGCATTTGGTTCCTTCAAATTTGAAGAGTCCCCTTACTTTATACATGCAATGTATAGAAAAAAAATTTCTTTTTTAAATT